GGGAGAAAAAAAGGAGAGAGGAGGAAAAAAGGAAACAAGGGGAAGGCGGTGAATTTGAGGAGGAGGAGGAGGAGGAGGAAGAGGAGGAGGAAGAAGAGGAGGAGGGTGGGCTGGGGGAGGATGAGGGTCCCCGTCCCCGGGCAGAGGATGAGGAGGGACGAGCCCAAAGGACGGGGAGACCTTCCTCCTCTGCTCCTACAGAGGATGAGGAGGGACAAGCCCAAAGGATGGGGAGACCTTCCTCCTCCGTCCCCAGGCAGAGGATAAAAGGAGAGAGGAGGAAAAAAGGAAACAAGGGGAAGGCGGTGAATTTGAGGAGGAGGAGGAGGAGGAGGAAGAGGAGGAGGAAGAAGAGGAGGAGGGGGGGCTGGGGGAGGATGAGGGTCCCCGTCCCCGGGCAGAGGATGAGGAAGGACGAGCCCAAAGGACGGGGAGACCTTCCTCCTCTGCTCCTACAGAGGATGAGGAGGGACAAGCCCAAAGGATGGGGAGACCTTCCTCCTCCGTCCCCAGGCAGAGGATGAGGAGGGATGAGGCCAAAGGACAGGGAGAACTTCCTCCTCCGTCCCCAGGCAGAGGATGAGGAGGGATGAGGCCAAAGGACAGGGAGAACTTCCTCCTCCAATCCTGCAGAGGATGAGGAGGGACGAGCCCAAAGGACGGGGAGACCTTCCTCCTTCGTCCCCAGGCAGAGGATGAGGAGGGATGAGGCCAAAGGACAGGGAGAACTTCCTCCTCCGTCCCCAGGCAGAGGATGAGGAGGGATGAGGCCGAAGGACAGGGAGAACTTCCTCCTCCAATCCTGCAGAGGATGAGGAGGGACGAGCCCAAAGGACGGGGAGACCTTCCTCCTCCACTGCTGCAGAGGATGAGGAGGGACGAGCCCAAAGGACGGGGAGACCTTCCTCCTTCGTCCCCAGGCAGAGGATGAGGAGGGACAAGCCCAAAGGATGGGGAGACCTTCCTCCTCCGCTCCTGCAGAGGATGAGGAGGGACGGGGAGACCTTCCTCCTCTGCTCCTGCAGAGGATGAGGAAGGACGGGGAGACCTTCCTCCTCCGTCCCCGGGCAGAGGATGAGGAGGGACGAGCCCAAAGGATGGGGAGACCTTCCTCCTCTGCTCCTACAGAGGATGAGGAGGGACAAGCCCAAAGGATGGGGAGACCTTCCTCCTCCGTCCCCAGGCAGAGGATGAGGAGGGATGAGGCCAAAGGACAGGGAGAACTTCCTCCTCCGTCCCCAGGCAGAGGATGAGGAGGGATGAGGCCGAAGGACAGGGAGAACTTCCTCCTCCAATCCTGCAGAGGATGAGGAGGGACGAGCCCAAAGGACGGGGAGACCTTCCTCCTCCACTGCTGCAGAGGATGAGGAGGGACGAGCCCAAAGGATGGGGAGACCTTCCTCCTCCTCTCCCGCAGAGGATGAGGAGGGACGAGCCCAAAGGACGGGGAGACCTTCCTCCTCTGCTCCTGCAGAGGATGAGGAAGGACGGGGAGACCTTCCTCCTCCGTCCCCGGGCAGAGGATGAGGAGGGACGAGCCCAAAGGACGGGGAGACCTTCCTCCTCCACTCCTGCAGAGGATGAGGAGGGACGAACCCAAAGGATGGGGAGACCTTCCTCCTCCGCTCCTGCAGAGGATGAGGAGGGACGGGGGATTGGGAGAATCAGGGAATTATCAGAGTTGGAAGGGACCTTCTAGTAGAGACCATCTGGTCCAACCCCCCGGCCAAAGCAGGGTTGCCCAGAGCACGTCATAGAGCTGGGACAGGACAAGCCCTTTCACCTTCCCTTCAGTGGGCCTGGGGGGGGTCAAGGAGAACCCCCAAATCCCTACCGAGGGGCAGCACCAGCCTTAATTACCTTAATTCCTCGTTAGCGCTCCTGTGAGCGGGGCCCTGAGCTTTTTTTGAGGCTGAACAACCTGATTTTGGCTTTTCTGCCCAAGGAGCAGCGTTAACAACCACAGAGGGACGACCGTGGGGCAGGTCCCACCTCCCATCCCCTCAAACGGGGGGAGAAGAGGAGCTCCCAGATCCCAAATCCCAAAAAATTGGGCTGTGAAAGGTTGGAGGGGCCGGGAGGGGGGGGGGCTCTAACGACTCACTTGGCGAATCCGATGAAGTCCTCGTGGTTGGTGTTGATGTAGGAGAGCTCGATGTCGATGAGGAGGAGGATCTGGAAGAAGGTTTGGGTGTTATGAAGTTCCAGGTCAAGGTTTAGGGTGCAAGGAGGTGGAAGAGACACACCATGGCCATGGGGAGAGGGAGATTTGGGATTGGGAGAATCAGGGAATTATCAGAGTTGGAAGGGACCTTCTAGAAGAGACCATCTGGTCCAACCCCCCGGCCAAAGCAGGGTTGCCCAGAGCACGTCATAGAGTCATAGAATGGTTTGGGTTGGAAGGGACCTCAAAGATCATTGAGTTCCAACCCCCTGAATGATGAATATGTTGGACCAATATCTCGTCCAAGTCATCGATGAATGTGTTGGACCAATATCTCGTCCAGGTCATCGATGAATATTTGGACCAATATCTCATCCAAGTCATCGATATGTTGGACCAATATCTTGTCCAGGTCATCAATAAGTATGTTGGACCAATATCTCATCCAAGTATCAATGAATATGTTGGACCAATATCTCGTCCAAGTCATCGATGAATGTGTTGGACCAATATCTCATCCAGGTCATCGATATCGATATGTTGGACCAATATCTTGTCCAGGTCATCGATTAATATGTTGGACCAATACCTCATCCAAGTCATCGATGAGTATGTTGGACCGATATCTCGTCCAAGTCATCGATGAATAGGACCCCGTCCCACCAGGAAAACGACTCACTTGGCGAATCCGATGAAGTCCTCGTGGTTGGTGTTGATGTAGGAGAGCTCGATGTCGATGAGGAGGAGGATCTGGAAGAAGGTTTGGGTGTTATGAAGTTCCAGGTCAAGGTTTAGGGTGCAAGGAGGTGGAAGAGACACACCATGGCCATGGGGAGAGGGAGATTTGGGATTGGGAGAATCAGGGAATTATCAGAGTTGGAAGGGACCTTCTAGAAGAGACCATCTGGTCCAACCCCCCGGCCAAAGCAGGGTTGCCCAGAGCACGTCATAGAGTCATAGAATGGTTTGGGTTGGAAGGGACCTCAAAGATCATGGAGTTCCAACCCCCTGAATGATGAATATGTTGGACCAATATCTCGTCCAAGTCATCGATATCGATATGTTGGACCAATATCTTGTCCAGGTCATCGATTAATATGTTGGACCAATACCTCATCCAAGTCATCGATGAGTATGTTGGACCGATATCTCGTCCAAGTCATCGATGAATAGGACGAGATATTGGTCCAACAAAGTCATCGATGAGTATGTTGGACCAATAACTTGTCCAAGTCATCGATGAATAGGACGAGATATTGGTCCAACAAAGTCATCGATGAGTATGTTGGACCAATATCTCATCAAAGTCATCGATGAATGTGTTGGACCAATATCTCGTCCTATTCATCGATGACTTGGACGAGATATTGGTCCAACAAAGTCATCGATGAATGTGTTGGACCAACATCTCGTCCAGGTCATTGATGAATGTGTTGGACCAATATCTCGTCCAAGTCCAACATATCGATATCGATGACCTGGACGAGATATTGGTCCAACAAAGTCATCGATGACTTTGTTGGATCAATATCTCATACAAGTCATCGATGAATATGTTGGACCAATATCTCATCCAGGTTATTGATGAATATGTTGGACCAATAACTCGTCCAAGTCATCGATGAATATGTTGGACCAATAACTTGTCCAAGTCATCGATGAATATGTTGGACCAATATCTCGTCCAAGTCCAACATATCGATGACTATGTTGGACCAATATCTCGTCCAGGTCATTGATGAATGTGTTGGACCAATATCTCGTCCAAGACATCGATATCGATATGTTGGACCAACATCTCGTCCAAGTCATCGATGAATATGTTGGACCAATAACTTGTCCAAGTCATCGATGAACAGGACAAGATATTGGTCCAACAAAGTCATCGATGAGTATGTTGGACCAATATCTCATCCAAGTCATTGATGAATGTGTTGTTCCAAGTCATCGATGACTTGGAGGAGATATTGGTCCAACATATTCATCGATGAATGTGTTGGACCAATAACTCGTCCAAGTCATCGATGAATACGTTGGACCAATATCTCATCCACGTCATCAATGAATGTGTTGGACCAACATCTCGTGCAAGTCATCGATATCGATATGTTGGACCAATATCTCGTCCTATTCATCGATGACTTGGACGAGTTATTGGTCCAACACATTCATCGATGAATATGTTGGACCAGTATCTCGTCCAGGTCATCAATGAGTATGTTGGACCAATATCTCATCCAAGTCATCGATGAATGTGTTGGACCAATATCTCATCCAGGTCATTGATGAATACATTGGACCAATATCTCGTCCAAGTCCAACATATTGATATCGATGACTTGGACGAGATATTGGTCCAACACATCAATATCGATGACCTGGACGAGATATTGGTCCAACACATTCATCGATGACTTTGTTGGACCAATATCTCGTCCAAGTCATCGATGAATACGTTGGACCAATATCTCGTCCAAGTCATCGATGAATAGGATGAGATATTGGTCCAACAAAGTCATCGATGAATATGTTGGACAAAACTGGACCAAGCGTTGTCCCCTGGGGGTCACCACCAGTTAAAGGTGTGAGAAGAACCGAGGTCTTCTCCTGGCTGGAGCTCACCTGGTCCTTGGTTTTGCCTTCCCGCTCCCGGATGTGAGTGGTGACGATCCTCTCCGTCTCCTCCCGTAACCTGGGGTAGGAACCAAGCTGAAAAGAAAAGGAGAGAAGGCCGGGGGGGGTGGGAAAAATAAAAAATAATAAAAAAAAGAAAAAAACAAGAAAAAAAAAAGAAAAAAACCACAAAACAACAGGCTGCTGATGGGACCGTGGTGGCCTC